AGAGAATTGATTGATTGAACGGCGTGTCTGACCACTGTTTGCCGATTTTACTTTGATTGCGTACAGATCGACGTGAAATATAATTCTTCGCGAATTCTCGGAGTACGAATGAAAACCGATGTTACACGACTCGCCTGGACTAATAAAAACGGACCGGATATTAATAAAACGTATAATTATTGTTCCGTCAGAGTCATTCAATGAATCGACGAGTGCAGTGGTGTTTTTATTCGATTAACTCGATTAAACGCGCAGGGAAACCAATTTTTGATAGCTGTGTTCCTACCTGTTGCCCGCTGCAGAAGATTCTGTTCCTTATCTGATATTTTGGGAAGGTGAAGCTTGTGTGCAACATTGGAACCAAAGTAGCACGATAAAAGAATAGAGCAACCGAATCGATGTTCCCATCAGTTTGAAAACATTCGAATTCTCGCAAAATAGCTCACCGTGAATTATTCAAACACCCAATTTAACCTCTCGCACTAGCATTGCACAATCCGAGGTATAATTCCAACAACCGACATTTCACTCGCGACATTTATATGTGACCTGAAATTGCGACCTTTCGTCATATCCACGGTTGCTCCAAAACTGCCATCAATACCGAGACTCGTCGGGGATAGTCCAAAGGGTTAATCGCTTAAACAAAGTTTGCAAATAAACATTTACAGCGGCGAAATAGAGGACCGAGAGAATCATGGCGATCAAGAGAAAATAATACCTTCATCCGCTTACTTACCCCTTAAAAAAGAAGCCGGCTGAGTTGGCGTTTTAAGAACCTCCGAATCATCTGTCCGTTATCATCCGCACGGTCAGGCCTCTGGGACGGTATCAGGGGTTGAAACGAGGTTAAACGAAGCTGGTAACAAACATCTCATTTATTCGACAACCGGCATCGCTCGCGCGTGGTACATGACGGGGATCAGGCAGCGAGCTAAGAATTCTACGGAAATTGTTGCTGTTCGCACACAACCGGCAGCCCAAGTGGGCTCGTTAAATCTTCAGCCCCGACAACCGTTCCGTCGTAAACGCCGGGAACGCTTTCTGGACCCGCTCGCGCTACCAGCGCCGCACGGTTAAAATATTTACCGAACGCGCTACGTTCCGGACTCCATTCTCGGATAAATTTATTACAGCTAATATTCCGGACGCGCGCTTCTCCGTCTGGCGATGGGACCGCGAGGCCGTTGCCAGATAGAGAAAGAACAGGTTTAGACGGGGGAGGGGAAAAAAAAGGAAAACCGAAAAGGAAGACGGTGAATTATTGTCTCATCGCACGCATAATATTCGTGGGCCCGCGCGAGCGGAGCTCGACGATTTACGAGTTTCCCTCGCGATCGAGCAACGCTCGCCTCGAACGTTAGAAAATTTCTTACGTGTACGCCCTACGACAATCCGGAACACCCGGTGTACTGGTATCGCGAAGATACGTTCGGGCTCGCATTAGTGCAACCATTCGTCCTCGGTTTAGCAACGCTTGAATCATTTCTCGATTTCGTTGCGCCGCCACCAAACGGTGCATTCGTGTTTCCCGCTGGTTGGCACGAATTCACGCCTGCGCGAGGAGCAACTGGGCCTGTCGAGTATAGAGTTCGAACGAGTCGAAGTTCGAAACGATTCGAATTGGTTAATGCTTCGATGATACGATTGGAATACACTATTTTGATTAATATCGTTCGGGTTACAGATCGAGTTTAGGCGTTGCGGAGTTGGATCTATTAAAACTTCGAATGATTCGAGCTCCATACCTCCGAATATTTAGAATTGTTGCAGCAGAATGGTAATCTGGTTTCCGAGTTGAGCAACCGATCGACGGAAAGTACCGTAATCTCTATAGAAATCATGCAAAAAGTTGAGCGTCCCCGCTTCAGAGGCAAACGCGTACAAAAAGGAGGGAACCATAGAAAGTTAGTATCAAAGTGAGCCTTACAGCTAAAACGTGAATATTTCATGAACGTATGGAACCATCACCCGCTTAAGAAGACAAAGAAACGACGAAACCGTTCAGTAATTACGCATCCCTATTTCCGCGACGGTTTAACATTTGTTCGTTATAAAATGACTTAAGACTTAAGGCATCTGCGCGTGATATCTACCCTCATCGTTCCCGTATCGACGAATAATGTGGACGATTTACATCGGTACCGTAGAAAAAAGCTAGTTTACAGAGCGGTAACGGCCAAATAGAAGCCTGCGCAACGGCTGGAAGGAAATATCATCGATGGACAAAAGGCCGGTGTGTTTCGACGCCGAAAGAATTTCTCCATTTCCTCTCTGTTTGATCGTTCGCCGCATATCTCGTGTCCAGCTCCGTGCTACACCACCGAATAATCCTCGACCAGTATCTGGCCGAAGTGAGTTATCACGTAATCGTGGTAATACATCATTATGCAAAGTGGCTGTCCGATAATGAGACTCGCCCACACCACGATATTACCCCATCTGGCGCCCCAATATTGCTCCACCATCTTACTGAGTATCGATAATGGTATCTGGAAAATCGGTTAGAAAGTTTCTGCCTGATGACACGGCCGCGCAATTTATTATTCATTTCTCGGCTGCGTTTTTGAAGCGGTAATGCCCCTCTAATTGCCCGGCCGCTAGGGCGGCCGATAAACGATTCGCGAAACGAGCCGTCTAATCGCCTCATCGTGTAGATTAAAATGATGAGGCTAACGGATCCGCGTTCGAGGAATAATTGATTAGCCGGTCGATACTTGCGAACGGATAATATCAACTGAATAGACGATCGAATCAACACATGTGAGCCTCTTAAGCTTCGAAGTTGAATTTTTAACGCGTTCCTCTGTCTTCGAAAACTCATCCGAGAAAGTTCTTCGCGAGAAAGACAAAGTTGTTTTACCTGTCCCATCATGCCCATGAACGCCCACGTCTTGAACGTCTTCAGAGGCACGCTGACCAAGTACTCGTGGAAGAAGGCACTGATGAAGAACACCGTGATCGAAGCGATCGACCTACTGTACCCCATCTCTATGATGGGAATGTAGAGATGTCTGCAACAGATTAAACCAACCCAGTTAGTCAACTGCAAATTCGGTTGTTTGCGACTCGTGTTCAGCAATGATCAACTAATAAGTATTCTTATCGAATTCAAAGCATCAGCGGCAAACGCAAATATCATTCAAACATCAGTCCACAAAAAATCTGTCGTTACGTAAATACTCCCCTCTAATCTGTGCAGTAATACTCTCATTAGTACGCGCAATGATGCATCGATAGGATTAACAAACAGGATCGAGCATCTCGTTATCTCGGAAGGAATCCGGGTCCTCGTTGATACTCTCTGGACTATTACCCTAGCTATGCAAAGCCCCATTAGAGCGTTGTACCACAAAGGAGCACGTGGTACTTTCGCGGAGCTGTGGGTCAGGGTGTAGATAAGAATGGCGTCGCGTTTAAGGATCAGGCGGCGGGAGAATCGCCTCGAAAAATTAAAGCAATAGCCGTGGAAGTTTCCCGGAATAGCGACACTTTGGGTTGTCGTCTCGAAACGGGGACGACCGGCGGGAAGCGGAAGCCAGGAAGAGATCGTTAGCCGGCTTGGTTATCAGTGGCGTCGCATTGGAAAGAAGAAAAGGAAGCGGCGGCCGAGCGAAAAAAACTGGCGTAAAGAACCGAAATGGGAGGGGCGAGGGGTGGAAATTCAAAGGCGCGGCGCTCGCCGCTAAGAATTCCCAGCCCGGCGTTCCGTTCGCGTATGGAGGCCTCTTCGTTGCAGCTGGAATAGGATATAAGGGATGCAAACAGATAACTGCCTACCGCGAAACGTTCGACCAAATAGACGCGCTAAATTCTCGCGAAGATCTTAACGTTTCATCTACGGAGATATTGCTTAATAATTCCACCTTACACTCCGAACAAATTGAACATTAAAATATTCATGAACCGCGTAACAGTTCCAGCGTTACCCTAACACTCTTCAAGCTCCGAGAGCAGGACGGCTGTAACAACCGTGTCCCCTCGGCAGCGTGCCCCATAAATCCACGAAATCCCCAGTCTAATTAGAAGTGACCGGACGTCGAAAACACGTAACCAGTTCGCCGGTGATTCCGTAGGAATAAAAATTCTATACGTGGCTCGTAACCGTGGAACGGAACGAACGTTTCCAGGGGCGACCGATAGGAAGCCCCCGCAGAGATCGGCCCGCGGAATAGATCCTCCCTTTCTGTCTCATTTCCACTGTTCCCCCGCGATCCCGCCGCGGAATAGACGCGTCGGGATATCTCCCAGTTATAGAGGCATTATAAGTGCCGGGGGGAATAAACAGCTTTAAGTGCGCGCACCGCGATGCGTATCGGCTTTTCCCATTACAATCCTGAAAAGACGTCTTCTTCGTCGACAGCCCCGGCCCCTCCCGTCCTTCCGCCGTCTCCCCCGGCGTCTATGCCCCCGTCATCGTCGTCTCCGCCGTTCCAGGTCGTCATCGTCGTCGTCGTCGTCGTCGTCGTCGTCGTCGTAGCCGTCTGTGCCCGCTTTTCCATTTTCACCTCAAACCCGCCCACCCCAGCGGTCGCATGGCTGCGTGCCAGTTGCAGCTCGCAATTGCAGCTGCATATCTCGGCCCAGACGAAAGGGAAGACTCGGGA